AAAAAAAAAAAAAAAAAAAATCACCTTTCTAACATGTCTGTCTTTTTTCTGAGGTCGAGATAACCGTAACCCCTGGAGGCACTTCTCATTGTACTCCATATCCAAGTCCAATTGACTCGGCCTATCATCGCTTGATTTCGTCGAATCATACAGCTTCTTGTGAGCAGGCAGCACCGATGCATTCACATCTTCAATCAGAGAAAACTCCGTAAATCGCGAATCTTTCACGACCATTTTAAACTTCTGTTCTTCCTTAAAACTCACGGCCCCATATCCTATCACCCACTCACTTCTTGAAATATCGACAACCTCAACCTCTTCGACACTTGAATCATCCGACCCATCAACTAAGTTCTCCCTGTCCGCATTCTCAAACCCAACCTTCTCCTCGTCTTTCTCAAAAAGGCCGAAACATTTTACGGCGCCATTACTCAAATTACTGCACGAAAATAGAGCCCCGAAACAGTTGCCCATTTTTGCAGGGAATGCAACGCCCTCGACTCTACCTGTGCCAGAAAAGAACCCTAAACTTCGAAGCCTAACCGGAGCGTGAATTTCTCTGCGAACCCTCGGTTTCGGGTCAAGAAATGAAATGTGTGATCGAATTGCGCGGCAACTGAATCTGGGTTTCGATTGTTGCTGCTCAGAGCCCCCATAAGTGAAGGGCATGAGATAACACTAACAGAGATGTTCGCTTCATTCAATATCCGTTTTAGTGTTTTGTACTTCGATCTTGAAACTTGGGTTTAGGGTATTGGTATTAATCGGGAAAATGAAGAGAGTTGTTGGGTTTGAGAGACTTCTCAAGTCTGTCGTTCCCAAAAAAACAAACAAAAGACTTCTCTCAAGGGTTTTCCATTTTTATTCACTTACCATAAGGTGTGTTTGGTTAAAATGGAGGGAATGAGAGACGAGGGATTTGAATGGAAGAGGGGAACGGAGGGAGATGTAAACTAATTTTACATTGTTTGGAGTAATTTTGTAGAAGAAAAAGGAAGAAAAAATAGTAAACCTTATTAGAAAATGAAGAGAGATGAAAAATAATACTAAATTGACTATTTTACCTTTAATGATATAAAGAAATAATAAAATTAAATAATCTAAATACTACGAGCATGAAAGTAATTTCATTTCTCTTTATTTTCATTCTGCTCCAAATCCTCTTAATTTTGGAGGAGAGGCATGAACACTATTTGGAGGGGATTTAAACAAAAATTTTCATTCTCCTCCCCTTTAAAAAAATTGAATCACATACGAAATGTAAAATTTTCTCTCCCCTTCTCTCCCCTCCATTCCCCTCCAAAACCCCCCGACCAAACACTATTAAACATTTAAATTTAAATTAGAAATTAGAATCCAATGGGAAATACACAGAGATGAATCGCCCTTTTCAAATATCTTTTCGAGATCCGACGTGTCTTGTTTGATAAGACGGGTAATGAGCAAGCCGCGGAAGCCCTACTTCATCGTTGGAGCTCACGAGGTAAGCAGAATGGGTCGCGAAGTTATTATGATTTCTTAAGGCATCGCGGTACATTGGTGCAATGGTCGGGGGTCGTTTGGGGCCCTTGCAATACCCTAAACACTCCTTCATTCTTTGGTTGGGAGTGTTCAATCGTCTCCGTACAAAGGACCGGTTAGAGTTCATTGATGTTGACCCGACTTGATCTTTTTGTGGTGGTGTTGAATCATTAGGTCACTTATTTTTTGAGTGTCCCTTTTGGCTAGGAAATTTGAGGGGGTGATTAGAGAGTGGGTTAGCCTCCGTCATAGGCTATTGACACACAAAGGAGCTCTTGAATGGACTACAAAGGAGGCTCGAGGGACTAGTTGGCAAACCAAGTTGAAGAAAGCGGCGCTTCCGGCAACCGTGTACTTCATTTGGAATGTGAGAAATAGGTTGATTTTTTAAGGCGAATCTCAACCTTCGAGTCTAGTCATACGTAAGATTCAAACACATGTTCATCGTAAAATCTTTGTGTTATATCCGAATGTCCTTGCCGAATATGAGAGGAATGCCCTTGGAATATGATAGGCATCCCTTTGGCGGGGGAAGACGGGCATCGAGCTAAGACGCGCTTGGGGTTTTTGCATCTTTGTTTTGCTTGGGACTTGAGTGAGCAACCGAGTTGCGGTTGCCCTATTAGACTTATGACTTGCGAATGAGGAGTCGTGCTTGTGGGTGTCCACTTCACTTTGTAGGTTGTCTATCAGTCGTTCAAACACTAGTTTTGATCTATAAAGTTACTTTTACTGATAAAAAATAAAAGAAACTAGAATCCATACTTTAGCGTGTATTCCTTTAGAATTTGAGTAACATTTTGTGGCTTTTTAAGTTTTTTGAGATTTAGGTGGAATACTGTGAAATGTGAAGTGAGATTTTGCGTGGGAATTTGGTTATATGATTTTTTTTCCTTAGATTTACAAAAAAAAAAGGGGGTTGTTAGATTGTCGCGGCGCGATACTTCAGCCTTCTCTTACTCTCTGCCATCGTGACGGTCCTCGCGACCAAGGTCGCGGTGCGAGCTCTTCTGCACCATCGCGGCGCGATACCTAGATCATCCCCACTCTCGTCCATCATGATTCCCGCGCGACATAACCTCGCAGCTTGACCTTCTAGCCCGTCGCGCAACAACCGGTTTCAATGTGCCACACTTGGAAATTCCAACTCTTGATGCTTTTTGATTCGGATATGTCGAGCTCGGTTGTACGTATTCTTCAGATGAGGGTCATCGGAATCATTCTTGTCCTCTTCGAGATTGTCCTTGTCCTCAAGGATAAAATCCAGAAAATTGAATATGCATATCTTGTAGATTTTCCCAAGTTGTGTCTACTTCCAACAACCATTCCCATTTGATCAAGACCTCCCAACGAAAATGACCAGCCTTCTTAATTCTTCAATAATCTAATGCATGATACGGTCGTACAATCATAGTGCCTTCGGAATTCACCGACGGCAACTTAGTATTCACTTCATGATATTCACTCAAACTTTTTCTATAATTGAGATACGTGAATAACCGGGTGAATTTGGGACTCCGTTAGTAATTCGAGTTGATAGGCTACTTCACCTACACGTTCTAAGATTTGATATGAACCGTAGAAATGACTGCTAAACTGAATCGAGCCTTCTGAGATACTTTCTGTTGGCGATAAGGTCGTAGCTTCAAGTAAACCCAATCGTCTGGCTCGAATTGTTCCTCTCGTCTTCCTATATCATAGTACTCTTTCATCCGATTGATCGACCGTAGATATTACCTTTTAGTTCTTGAATCATTAAACCTCGTTATTCCATTAGCTCACGATCAACTTCAACATTCAGAAACTTTTTCAACGGATAACTAACCAATGTACGCGTCAACCGTCCATAAATCAACTCGAAATGAGTGAACTTAGTTGAGACATGATCAGTCGTGTTATACCAAAATTCAGCACATGGGAAAAATCCTTCCCATTTTCTCATAAAATCATGGACATAGCATCTAAGGTATTGATTTACTGTCCGTTTAAGAAAGATACGCCGAACTCATAGCCAATTCGGTCCCATGTATTTTATTTTTATTTTTATTTTTCCAAAAGTTACTCATGAAGATCTGATCTTGATCAGACACAAATGATCGTGGCACCCCATGGAACTTCACCACATACTCCACTAATAATTTGCCTATCGACTTAGCAGTGTATGGATGAGTCAATGGAATAAAATGCGCATATTTGGTAAGACGGTCCACTACCACCATAATGTCGTTGAATCCGTTAGATATAGGTAAGCCTTCAATAAAATCTATATTGATATCCTCTCATATTCAATTGGGCACCGACAATGGTTGCAATAGCCCACTTAGTTTTCTAGAATCAGATTTCACCCGTTAGCAAACATCAGATTTTGCCACATACTCACTTCATTCTTTACCCCCGACCAATAAAAAGTAATTGATAATTGTGCCCATGTTCGATAAACTATGGAATGTCCCCCAATCTTGGATTATGAAAATAATGAACAATTTCTCGTCTTAGTTGATCGGTTTCCAATACATACACCCGCCCTTTATATAATAATAACAATCCACTGCAAACATCTCTAAGCTTCCATCTTCCTACGAGTATCATTACAAAAAGCATCTTGAATGTTTGTCTCTCGTAATTGATCTCATATAGCCCAAGTTGGTACACAAATAGCTCGAAGTTCAGCCACATCGGTACGAAGCATCATCCGCTCCAGTCTCGCCATCACCTGATTCGTGGATTGAATTTCCTCACTCATGGTCCGCATGCTCTCCTCCATATTATCCATGCACTCTCGATTAGTCATGGTGATACACTATTAGTACCTCTCAATGAAAGCACCAATGTTAAGAATCGTGTATCAACTATCAGATTTTGTATCAAAATCCGCAGTATCAACCTTGATTTGAATACGAATTTGTGCTCAGAAACGAGCGTTTTTTTTTTGTTTATTTTACTAGATAATGATAATCAATTGTTCATACAAAGGTCATAAACTTTAAATACACACCAAACAACATTTAAAAATCCAATCAAAAAACGAGCAAATAATTAATCCCGCCTTGAAAAACCATCAGATCGTGTGCCGCTGCGCAACACTTTAGCCTTACTCTCTGCCATTGCGACTGTCTCCACGACCAAGGTCGCGGCGCAAGCTGTTCTGTGCCATCGCGGCGCGACACCCTTGATCATCCTCACTCTCTGCCATCATGATGCCAGCGTGACATGACCTCGCGCCTCGACCTTCCTGCCTGTCGCGCCGCGAGTCGCTGGAAATTTCAAATCTTGATGCTCTTTGGTTCAAATACGTCGAGCCCAGCTGTCCGCATTCTTCATACGTCGACTCTCATCCGCATCATTGTCTAACAACAACCTATTAAAACTATGTACCTTGTGTTCTAATTTTTTTTTTTTTTTTCAGTCACATTGATTTAATAAATGTTGGGTGTTTATCGTTCAATAATCCCTCCTATTATTTATATTTAGAAAAATGAAAGGAAAATTGAGATATTGATATAATACACACTATGATCAGTTGGTTAAACCAAATTCAATCATCTCGAAATAACAATCCTGCAATTACACCTCATTTTATCAACATTTTTCTACAAATAAACTCACTACTTTCACATTCATTCTTCTTTAAGCCATTTTGTTCTCTTCCAGGATAATACACTTTTTAACCCCCCACACAACAATGTAATCAACTACTATAAATTCTCCGTTGCCATGCACAGTCAAATTTCAAGAAAATTACCAACTTATGGCACATAAACAGAAAGGCTACATATTCTCTTTAATCTAATGCTCTGTACTGCACACATCAATTTGGCAATCCATGGGACTTGGATACAAATAATGAAACCTGAGCCAAGCAAACAGAACAAAGTATACAAAAACCCTACTTTTTGTAGACCATTTCAAGATAACAAGCTTTACAGTCGATAAACAACCAAACATCCAGGAACTATCATGGTACGAACAAGTTGACTGCTGTCCCAAAAACATATATTTCATGAAAAGTTAACGGGCGATGAACTATTCATTACTCAGTTGCTTCAATTTCACCTTCATGCAATTTCATGCAAGCAAAAAGTTTACAGGAAGAAGGCTTGTGCTCACGGAAAGATAAAACTACGCATTTAAAACGAGCATGCATGGCCCCACTTACTACACGATGAAAAAAGGATCATGGAAAACTATAAACCATCAAGAAATAGATCAAGACGGTCCTCACTGAACTTACACGAATATGATAAAATGACCACACAATTTAATGGAAACATCAAACACGAACGTGAAGGGTATAACACTACAGAAGTTTCACTAATCCTTATCATAGACATCGAAACAAATAGACTACCGCTCAACTTGCGTAATATTTCTCACAAGACCACAAAACCATAAATAAATGAATATTTCCAAGTACTACACACGAATCCAAGACTGCATGCAATAAATAGCATCATAATACAAGATATCGACAAATGAAACTTAAATACAATAAATGATGAAATATAATCTAAATGCGAAGAAGGTTATTGTATATTATTATTACTATTATTATGCCTTCACCACTTTAAAAGGTGGGTGGAGCAAACCAAGCTCGTCCCTCATTTCAAGTGGATTGCTCGTCTCATTCCTTATCCTCCTCACTTTCCGGCTCGCGAGCGAGTTATGAGCAAACCCATACATCTGCAGAATCTGATCGTCCCCAAAGTTAAAAGCCCGGTCCATCTGTCTCAAGCACCTCTCGACCGAATAGTCCCCGAACTTCAAACACGGCTTGCAACCCACAAAATGGGTCACCAGAGGCCACCTATGGTCCCCAAGGCCTGGATGATAATTCTCAATCATCTCCTCATACTTATCGACCAGAATCCCCCAATACCCGTGCAAATAATAAGCACTCTCCAGATAAACCCTACTCTCCCACTTTTCCCTCTGAGTCGCCAGTATGTACACCATGGCCGACTGGTCATCCGCCTCGAAAACGGGCCGATCTTTCAGCTCGCTCGTCAGGAGCTTCCCAGCCTCTTCCCGAATTTTGCCCTTCGGCCCCATTGGAGCCAATGTATCCAACAAGTCCAATGACCACTGACAATTCCTCAACAAGAAGCTACCCGTGTTTAATCCAATCCAATTCTTCTGATCGTAAACCATTTCATTCCACCCGTGCATAACAAGATTATGATCCTTATACCTCTCCCACGGCAGCTCGAAAGCCATGTCGGTGAACATGGCATCACTGTCCATCCACCACAAGAACTCGACCTCCGGATGGGAAAGAAGGAGCTTGCGGATCAATGGCAGCTTGGCCCAGAAGCCCGCCATCTCGGCATCGAGCAGGGCCATGTTGTAGAAAATCTCGATACTGTGGAGCCTGCAGTAATCGACCTTGTTCTTGATCGATTTCAAGAGGTAATGGTCTCCGACCGGGTTCTCGCACGGCTTGGGTGACGACCCGGTGACCAGTAGGACCCTGGGCTTGTTGGGAGCGACGAAATTTGGGAAATTAGGGTTTTTCTTCAGCCAATCCCCTCTCTGCAGGTCCCAATCCGAAATTTTTGGGCCGAGAGCGTACGGCTGGGAGGGTTCACGCTTGAATTCCTCGACGCCGTCGTCCTCGTCCTTCAGGATCTTAGACACATCGAAGTCGGCGTAGCTTCTGCTGCCGGAGGAGGCGGCGCCACCGCTGTCGGACAGCTTACGGAAGGAGATCGATGCCTCCTCCAGGACGCGGCGCGGCTCGGCTCGGCGGCGGATGTAGGAGAAGGTCTCGCGGATCTCGTCGAGATCCTTCTCCGGCGTGCCGAATTTGCCGGCGCCGAGGTTTCCACGCAGCATGAGGACCGTGAGGAAGAGGCAGAGGAGGGTTAGCTTGCCGTTGCGCACGAGTCGCTGGAGCTGGCGGGCCCGCCGGGGGCTCAGCAGCCGACCGAACATGGCGGAATTTATGAGATTAATATTGAAGTAAAAAAAATAAAAAATCAATCGAGATGGGGGATTTACAAGGCGAATTTTGGGGGTGGTGATGGATCAACGGGGCTGGGGCGTTAGGGTTTTCGATTTCTTTTTCTTCATGTTATGTGGAGATTTCGTTTTCTTGGCTGGATTTTAATGGCGGTGGATAGTTGCAGAGTAGGGAAATGGTGGTGAAAAAATGGAGTGATTATTATAAATTTGCCTTCCATTTTTTTATTTCTACCTGCGGTGAAGATGTTTTTCTGACAATGATTTACTAATTACAAAATCTAATGAATTTCTAACATATGAAAATTTACCTATTTTTTAAAGGAGTAATAATATTGCAGTTGGATATACTTTGGGTGAGTGAATTTTGTAAAATATAATGTCTTTTATTTTATTTTTATGTAAAAATCATATATTATTTTACATAATAATACCATCTTATTATTTTGCAAATAATATCACTTTTAAAATCAATAATTATTATACATACACATAAGTTTTGATCATCCTTTGTAAAGATGCTACGGTTCGGTTATCGGAGTTTGTAACTGTTAGATCAACTATATCTGACAATTACATGATGATCTAACGGTTGCAAATCCCGACGGAATGATTCCGTAAGGGGACCTTAGTATTTTCCCATCCTTTGTATTAAAGCACCGGCTGATATTCACTTTATTCGATGGGATCCCCCTGATGGCGAGGCGGTCAAAATTAATACGGACGGTTCCTTCGTGTCTTCGTCCGGAATGGCGTCTGCTGGAGGTTTGGTTCGTGATGCTGGTGGTCGTTGGCTTGGGGGGTTCGTGATGAATATTGGATATTGTTTCATTACAAGTGCCGAGTTATGGGGACTTTTCCACGGTTTATTGCTCGCATGGGATATGGGATTTTGTCGGGTTATCGTGGCCGTGGACAATAAGCGCGTGGTGGTAATGACAACAGGAGGCCAAACTGGCAACCTTGGCGTGCATGGTGGTTTGGTTCGTATCATACGTGACTTGCTTCGACGGGACTGTGATGTGCGGGTGACTCATTGCTACAGAGAGGCGAACTTTGTTGCCGACTGTTTGGCGACTCTAGCCTGTCCTAGTGGTTATCATCGGTTATCTGACCCTCCATCGGTAGTTCTTCCGTGGTTACAACACGACAACATTGGCGTGTCTTACCCACGGAACATCCATATCTGATGGACCTAGGCTTTTGCCTCCTCTTTTGTACCAAAAAAAAAAGCACCGGCTTAATGTATCTTTACTCTTTTTTTTTTTTAGAAAAAAAAAAATAAAAACTGATAGAAAAAAATATAATGGGGCAGTTAATAATTATTTTAATATAAAAGGGTGTGATATTAAAAAAAAACTTAATTATATTTAATTATGAAATATTAAATAATAAATAGTTATAAATATGTAATAAAAATTACATTAAAATGGTTAACTGTGTTATGTGTTGGAAACTTATCAAACATGTGAATAAATTAATTATCACACTATAATTGATAAATGTGTTTTGTGTTAAAATAAATCAAATCTATTAACTAATAGTCCCCGAACTAGCTGCCTACAATAAAAAACTATTCAAAATATTAAAATATATCATATTTACTATGTACTATATTTATAAATAATTTTTTTAAAAAAAAATTCTAAACTATCATAATTTAAATTACAGCGCTTGATAATCATACAAATATAGAAGATATCTAATATTCAAATAAGTACTAATTAAAAAATGAATTGAAAAAATAAATATAAACAAAAATAATTAACCATTAAAAATTGTGTTGCATAAGGATTGAAGTTACTAAAATTTAAGTTTAATCATCAAACATTTCAACATTTCATGCACTTAGTGTTATAATAAAGAAATAAATGTTATGAATTAAACGCTGGTCAGTTATCGAAAAATGTACAAATTATAAATTGTTTAAAAAATTATTAGACTAAGATAATCGACAATTTTATAAGTACATTTGGGCAATTTGTATGCAAATATCAGAAAATCTTACATTTATATATTTTATAAATTTATAAATAATAAAATTTATATATTAAATAGTCAAGACCCACAAAAAAAATTTTAAATAAAAAAATAGTAAATAAATAAATTTCATATTATTACTAAATTGAATATTGTGTTGAATAGAATTGTATATTGTCTTAAATAATATGATATAATTAAATAATTAAATATTTTTTATAATATACTCTGGTGCATCGCACGAGTATCAATGCTAATTAAAATAAAATCAAAATATGAAAATTTACAAGAAAATTAAAAATATTATGTTGGAGTTAGGTAGGGCACTACTCACTAGGGTTGAGAATGAGACTCGGAGAATTTCGAACCTAACTTTCTCCTAATTGAAAAATAATCGTTGACCATTTGTATTTTTCCGAACTAAACCGAACCGAAAAATAATTGGTACGATTCTAGATATTTCACAAATATGCGTACCGAGAACCGAACCAAAGCGTCTCATACCTTACCGAACCGAAGAACCGAATTATAACATTAGATGTTTGTGATTAATATATTTTATGTCAACTTTGATCCTATATGATTTGAGAATTTTTAAAATACAAATAAAATACAGTGATACTAATTAAGCTTTACTTCATGCTTAGTAACACTTGATCTATAATTGAATTTTTCCTACTATAAAAAAAATTATTTAAAATGGTATGAAAGGTTAAAAATAGTTTTTAAGAAAAAAATATTATTTTGTTTGAATTTTAAATTTTTAATATTAATTGCACAAATTTAGTTTTAACTAAAATTTATAGCTATTTCTAAAGTTGATTTCAAAACACAATCTTTAATATGAGAAAGTATTGATGAATGTTTTTTTTAATTATATAAAAATTGAATAACTAAAATCTATAGTTACTTCTAAAGTTGATTTTTGTTTTTTTTGGTAGCCAGCCACGGTATCCGTTGGTCGACCCGGGTCGCACACTTGGCAGTGGTGGGTGAGTCTCCAAACAAGGATTTTTTGCATCCACAAGGACTCGAACCGGAGACCTTGCTTAAGCGCGGCATCAAGCTGCTTACCACTTGAGTCAACTATGTTGGTTAAAGTTGATTTTCTTCAATATGATGAAGTATTAATGAAATTGCATTTTTGTTAAAGCATATAATAATTAAAATATAATTAGTTAATCATTAAAAAAAATAATAAAAAAAAAGAAATATTCGAAAATCCGAACCGAACAGTTCCATTAGGTTCGAATACCGAACCGAACTGAAAAATAAAAATCTTCAAACCGAATCGTCTCGAAATTTTGGTACGGTTTCGAAGATTTCCCAATCTCTAGACTGTATCGAGCCATGCTCGCTTCACTGGGTTTCAAATCTTGCCAACCCAACTTGTGTGAGCCTCAATTCAAATATAAGCACCTGGTATTCACCCCCATTATTTTTCAAAATTCAAACCCATTTTTGTGTCTTACAGAAAAATCACTCGTCTCTCGCTGGCAATCTCGCACCTGCTAACTTGGAAAGATGGTAATTCTGCACAATTTTTTGTTTATTTTACAATTGCATCTGCCTTGAATCTCGATTGTCTCGAAGCTTGTTCGATCTAATCGATGCAAAAGCCTGTTTCTGTAGCTCAATCTACATTTCCTTATCGTAGATTATGTGTGATTTAATTGGATTTGGCTTTCTTTATTTGTCGAATCTTCCAGCGTATATGAACAGGAATGTGGAGGATTATTGTTTTTCATGTCAAAAATTTTGAAAAAGATGGATTGATAAGTAGGTCTCGCCTGATGGAAAATTGGAAATATCACAATTAACAATGGGGATGAATAAATAAGTGAAGTAACTGTTCTTAGAGTAGTCAAAGAAACAAGTCGCTTGTGAGCCCGGCTCGGATTGTTAAGGCTCGAGCTCCTTTAAAGCTCGATCCATTAACTAGCTGATCTTAAGGCTCAAAGGGAGGAATTTTTATATTATTTTATGTAGCTCTGCTCGAGTTTGGCTCATTAAGACTCGAGCCCGACTCGTTAATGTTGATAAACGAGCTGAGTTTGTCTTGTTAATATTGATAACGAGATGTCTCGTTTAACCCTTTGTGCTCTGTTGAATTTATCTCCGTGTGTGTATGTGTATGTGCGTGTGTGGTGGTTAATCGTTGTAAACTTGCAATGCTAGTTTAAGGGATCAAACATTTGTTGTTCAATAGTTAATTGTTCTTTTGGTGGAGTAGAGATTTATCTGAATATAATGTTGTAAGCTACGTCAAACATTGAGGTATGGGCTTGCAATTTTTTTTTTCTTAATAGTTAATTGAATTACATGTTATGATCATTCATGTTGCTGCGGAAATGGAAAATTGCATTGAGTTCGTCTACAACATACTTTTTATATTTACAAATGGTGAGGAGTACTTGATAATAGGTGAATCTATTATTGTAGTGTAGCATTAACCTTGTGGGATATGTCAAAGCTTATTATGGGTGCTCCTATTGCAGTCGTATGACTAAATGCATTTCCATACTATTTAATTTGACGCATAAGCAAGGAAATTGAGTAAGAGTGATAGATCGGGATTATCTTTTGTTTTATCTTTTCGCTTAATTATGCTAGATCTTAGATTCTTAAGGAGCCTGCTTATGGACAACACATTTCGACTATGTAGTTAAGAAAATATATATAACTGATGAATTATGTCGCTGCTTTTGCTTGCAGAATGGGCACGATGGAGATAATTCGAAACAAAGTACTTCTGACATGACTGCATTTGTGAGTTCTACCAACTTTGTATACAATTAGATACGGTTGCTCCGTATTTCTCTCTTTATTTCAAAGTGAATTGATTTCTGGCTCGGTTTTGTGCTTTTCTGAGTTTATATCTGTTTCGTGGCATACTATTCTTTATAAATATACTGATGATTTTCTGAGTTTATATTTTTTATAAATATACTGAATATTTCGGTTTTGGTTTTTATTTATAGGTGCAAAACCTTCTTCAGCAAATGGTGAGTAAACGAAGTTAATGTTTTTAACCAACTAATTTATTCCGTACATATAATGACACTTGGCATCTCACCCATGTTCCGTTCTTCTTTTAGCAAACTAGGTTCCAGACGATGTCTGAATCCATCATCGGAAAGAATATCCTTTTCAACTGCTACTCACTAATTGTGTAGTTTTATTTTTGTATAACAAGGTCATCATAGAAAGTGATTTCCTGCATAAAGTCTTAACAAATGATGGTTTTAAGACTCAACAAAGTACAAACTCGCATTTTGTAATTACGGAAGTGCCTCAACATATATATAATGTGCATGAAATGTATATATTTGTTTCCTTAACTACGTTGTACTCGACGAGATGGGTAACCGAATTGATGAGTTGGAGCAGAGCATAAATGACCTCAGAGCCGAGATGGGCCAAGAAGGTTGCCCATCTCCTTCGGCTCCATTGAAGATGAAGGATGAACCAAAGTCAGCTCCAGACAGTTAAGGTGACTAGTGTCCGTTTGATTTTCAAACTTTGCTCGATTTTTCGTGTGCTTGTGTGTGATTTAAGATGGGAAGTGTAATGTTTTCCCATTTAGTTTCTTTTTATCTTTAAAAATCTTTAATCTATGTGACCCTATTGTATATTTGGGGAACAACATTCTGGTTGGGAGAAAGTTTAGACGGTGAATTCTGTTGATTTGCCTGAAATTTCAAGCTTGCTGCGGTTTTTATTTATACCGACAAGACAAATGTTAGTCGATATGTTTAGAGATTGTAGGTTTTTTCGTGTGTTTTGTATTGAGTTACCTTGGAAGGGTTTGCGTTTTTTTTTTTTTTTTTTTTTTTTTTTTTTTTTATCATATAAAAACGCACAAATGTGCAAAAGTACATACACTAGTTGAATACAACAACCAACGACTGAATAGACTGGGAGGACATGTCAAAAGACTGCCTAGAATCGACCCCGATAGGGTAATACTCTAAAAACACAAAAAAAACATCAGACTACAGACATTCAAGAGGAGAAGCCTTTTTTTTTTTCACTTCACTTTGGCTTTAAAATCGAACATGGTTAAATCTCTCATATCATTGTAAATCAAAGTAGAAATAGATTTGCGATTGGATATAATTATTTTTTTGAAGAAAAAAATTGTCTTATCTGAAAAATGAGATGGAAAGTGAAAAAAATTATTTTAAAAAATAAAATAAAATTTTAATTTTTAAAATTAATGTGATATAAGAATAATAAAATATTAATCAACAATCAGAAATATATGAGTGCTAGAATATTTTTTTCTTAGTGGAATTATAGGAAAAAAACTTAGATAAAAATAAATATTATTGAATAAAAACATTTGTTTTCAATAAAATAAATATTAACTAACCATGACAAAAAATAAAAAAAAAATAAAAAAAAAAATAAAAAAAGAAAAAAGTAAAATTGTATGCATTCAAATAGATTCATGTTGGCTTAACTGTTCGAACCAAGCTCAGTAGACTTGTTGCAATAAGATTGAATTTACCTTTCAGATTTTTCCATACAAATACAATGTTGACAAGTGGAGCTAGTCTTGATGGCTATCAATTAATGTGGATTACAATTTATCCAATAATAAATATAAATCCTGATTATTAAGAACAAAAAAAAAAATAAAAATGAAATTACACATTGACCCTTATGATCTTAAAAAGTATAATCTTTTAGAGGATTCTTGAATACAAATTTACTAAAAAAAATCCAAACATTTTTAACTCAACAATTTCTTCTTAACTCAACTTTACTTCAATGTTATTAATATTATCAATATAATTAAATGATATCAATAAATCATTCTTACATATCACATCAACTTTAATACACTATTCATCAACTCACATAATTTTAACTAATCATCACTCCAAATCATTACTCTCCTACTTTTACATCAAATCAAATTTAATTATTTTATTTACTAATAACCAATCATACCACATTTTTCAAAATTGACCAAATCAAACCAAAAAATTCAATCAAATCAAAAAGTCTTTATATCCAAGCATATAAAAGATTTTGTTAGTCAAGATGTGGCATTAATGTTCGATTTGTGTTTTTTCAATAAAAAGAGTCATCTCAATTTAGAGTGTTTAATAAACCTAAAATTGTAAACAACCTATTCGCTGACACGATTTATGTGTCGTCGAACAGCTAGATTAAGTTGCTCATTCGAAATCTATATATGTCAAAAGTATGTTGTTTGCTAACGAGTCATGTTCTAGTTAGTTCGTTTCAAATGATATTGGCTAATTGTTCAAATTTATCTCATTTAGTAAACATGTCAACCACAGCTCCAGCTTTCACGAGACCAATCGGACAACTCAATTTGAATAAATGGTAATTTATATCTATATCGATATATATATATATATATATATATATATATATATATATATATATATAAGAATAATTATTTACTAATAATAGTAGTAAAAAAATGTGAGAGCATTTAATGCATATTTTTTTTTGGGACTTTTTAAATAAATGCATTAATTACTTTCATATACATTTTTCAAATAAGATCAAATCAGATATGATAAAAAATATCGTTTCCTTAAATAATTGTATTAATATCTGTAATAATTTCATTGATATCCATTATAATAAATTACAAGATTGATTTTCCGTGATTCATATTGATAATATTTGGTCAAGATAAATATTACAACATATTTTAAGTTCTAACCATAATATGAGGTTTTTTTTTTCACAAATATTCATGTTTTATTTAAAAATATTTATAGAAAATTGTAACAGGTTAGGTAGAATTTTTTCTTCCAATTAATCAGGCGAATTTAAGTTGGTGAATTAATCTTTGTCAATATAATCTTTCTTAAGCTTTATTTCGTTATGTATAAAAAAAATAAATTAGTCTTCAAATTAATATAATTTACCATTTAAGAGATAATGACTAGATACATTAAATAATTTTACTAATGGTAAAATTAAATATATTAACTATTCTATATTATTGGCAACCATGATTTTATTTTATTTTTTTAATTTAATTTCTTTCTATAACGAAATTCTTGTAAAATATATTTTTCATTCAGAGTATGCTAAATAAACTATAAATTTTTATAATGCAAAATAGAAAAATCTTGACTATAGAAGGGTGCTAAATCAAAGTTGTTTAATTAGTATACAAAATTAAATTCTAAAAAAAACATGTGGTGTATATTTTGTAAAATATTTATACACTATTTAATTTTAAAATTATTGACATATATAAATTGATTACACAAATAAAATAATACTAACGTGCATTAAATATTTTTCATTGCACAAAATAAAAATAAAAAGAAGACATACAACTTCTATAACTTTTATAAATAATAATAATATTATATAACAACAAAGTTTATAATAAAATAATAATAAAGTATTATATTGTTAACAATAATAAGTAAAACTATTATTTTTTCTTATATCAAGGAATAAATATATACTCAAATCAAATTTATAACTACAAGATGCAAATAATAAATGATAATTCTATTATTTTTTTAGTCTTAAATGAATAGGAGCATGTCAAAATAACTCGTTTAATATCTTTATCAAGATATGTCCAAACTCCAATCTACCTCCACTATCCTTTCTTATTTCCTGGTAATTATTATTATTATTATTGTTATTATTATTATTATCATTATTATTTATTTATTTTTAATTATTCCCCTCATTTTATTGAACAATCACACTGTATCAATCCATTTTACTAATTTTTCTTATTTAATTTTAATTTTTTTTGATTATTTTATTTAAAAGAATGAGGATGGTAGGCACACCATTATACTCGATTCCACCATTTTTCATCCCCAAGGCGGCGGCCAACCTTCGGACAAGGGTTTCATCTCCTGTCGCCTCTTCAACTTCATTGTTGAAGATGTTCGATCCAAGGACAAAATTGTCAGTTTCCTTTTTCATTTTTTTTTTTTTACTACAATTCCATTGTTACTGATTTTTTATTTGATTTTTTTTTTTTTTTTCCTTGATTTGTTATAGGTTTATCACTATGGATATTTTGAGAAATCTGCAGATGGGAGTGTTGAGAAAGGTGTTGAAGTTGTGTTAGGTGTGGATGAAGATAGGAGGAGGCTCAATTCTAGGTATCAATGGTTAAATAAACGAGCCAGAAATTTGAGCTCGACTCGTTTATCACTATTAACGTGCCGATCTCGAGCTTTATAAACAACAAATTATAGAAAAATTATCTTTTCGAGTCTTAACAAGCCTTATCAGACCGAGCCGAGCTCTGCTCATTAAGCAAACGAGCATTAAATGAACTCTAGTATTAACGAGCTGAGTCGAGCAGGCTCGTTTAATTTAACAACACTAATAACTTCACCTCGTGCCTAATTATTGAACCATATTTTATAGCTTCACGAATTCTTGTTTGAGGTTGTATAGCTGTTAGCCTGGTTGACTTGTCGTATATTTGTGACAAAAATGCATATTTATATTATGTTATGAATGTCGTACTTTTGTTTTTGTTATTTTGTTGGATACAACATTTCAGTTTGGAAGTATGCATATATATTTTGGAAAAATATAATTGTCTAATCATTAGACTTGTCTGACAATAACGTTATTGTTTTAGCTGACTGGCTATCTCCTTCTCGTGGAGTTTGATTTGTGAACAAAAATATGTTAGTGCGTTGAATATTGCAAGATTGTGATTTTAATCCCTTAACAATTGAGGTAGGAATATTGGAGCCTATATCACTCTAAGGTAAAGAAAATTTTCAATTGAAAAAAGAACAAAGATGCTTTTTTTTTTTTTTT